TGGCTGGTGCAACCGCGTCCTCTGGTCCTTCCACCCTTACTAAGATGTCGTCCACGATCTGTCTGATTCGTGCCATCGGGGTCACGCGGTGGACTGCTTCCAAAACGTGATAGAGTAGTGCACAAGCCCCGTGGTTGGCCTTGCCGCGTCCAGGAGACATCCCATTGGTGGGTCTGATGAGGTCGGTGAAATTGCCATTCATCTTGATCAGCCTAGGGCTTAAGTAAGACGCCGCGCACATGTAGAGCTCGACCGTTGGGTCGTCCAACTCTGAGGCTCGTCAGCACAATATGCCCAGGTCCACCAAGTCGTGGAACTTCTCGAGGTCCTGGAAGAAGCTGGCCTGGTTGGCCTCCTGCAAGTGGGCCCGACTCTCATCCAGCACCAGTGCCACCATTGCTGCCTGTAGCGCAGAACTGTTCCGGGCTGTTCCGTACTGCTGCGTTCCAAAACCCTGCGCGTTGATCGCGCCATTCAGCGGGGGTCTGTTTGGTCGTCTCCCCCCGCGCTCGCACTGGCATCGGTCGTAGCCCAATGGGTCGTTCTTCACCTGCGATGCGTTTCTCCCCTTTTGGGAAGGGCCCCGTGCCAATTCTGCATCAGTTGATGTGGCCATTGCAACCTCCTCCCACACATGTTGAGCACCATCAGCAAGCCTTCTTTACCGCTGGGGCTGAGCGCGCGTAGTTGATCTGGAGCCCACTGGTCTGCCCCTCGCCCTGTCTTGGCTGGGAAGCTGTCGAGCGCCGCCTGCAGGGCCTCCGTTGCATGAAAGCGTCGGTCCTTGAACTCCTCCTCTGCCCTCTTCCTCAGGATGTCCATCTGGTAGTTGGCCCCCCCATGTGTAGTTGGTGCTTGGTCCATCGCGTTGCCCGCGCCTTCCTGCGTATATCGATGTCCTTGCAAGGGCCCATCTCCCATTCCATGGTCTCGGGATTCAGGCGTCCGTCGGTGAGCTGTTCGATCTCCTCCTTGGCGATGTGTCGATGGGCTGCACTCATGCCGCCCTTGGTAGCCTGTGTGGCACAGTGCCGTACCTGACGCCGTGTATCTGTATCTTGCCAGGCCAATCGAGCATGCCGTTCAGCTCGTTGATGTACTTGGGGAATAAGGCCTCAAATTACGTGTGAATCTTGATGCAGAACTTGTTGAGATTGATGCGGGTATTCGTAGCCTTGCCTTGCTTGTCGCCGGCCTCGGTCTCATTTTTTCATCGTCGGTTCTTGGTCGATGAAAGTCGAACGCGTCCAGCTCGCACTCGCGCGTGGTTTGCCGCTGCCCTTTCTGATCGTAGTTATCAAACTGCCCGCCCTCCATGCTTGAAATCGCCCGTGGTGGCCTGGCTGCGCCCGAAGTCGTCGCTGGCCCCGCCAGACTGCGTGTTTCGGCAAAGCTGGCGACGACTTCCTCCTGATGAGTGCCGAGGTTACAGCCGTCGGCCTCTGCCCAGTATGAACCCCTGCGGTCCAGCATACTGGGCGCGTCTCGCTCGGAGGCCCGACGCCTCGACGCGGGGCGGAGGCGAGCCATTGGCCGAGCCCCGCGGTGAGCTTGCCCTCTGCGGCGCCCGTAGTCGTCGCTGCAAAACTGGCGACGACTACCTCCTGATTAGTGCCGAGGTTGCAGCCGTCGGCCTCTGCCCAATATGAACCATCGCGTCCAGCATACTGGGTGCGTCTCGCTCAGAGACCTCGGGGACCTTTGGCCCGGCGCCTCGGCGCGGGAAGGGGGGGGGGCCCATTGGCCGAGCCCCGTGATTTCCGAACCAGCACCTACAACCTCAACTGGGCTGCCAAAATTCACGTCGGTGTACGGGTGGCACTGAAAATATGGCGTGCGCATGACCAGCCGTCGAAGACCTTCGTCGGTGTCGGAAGTAGTAGATGGTGGCTGGTGGTCGCTAGTGTTGGTTGGTTCCGCTGGAGACCCAGGTTGCAGTCCAATCCGTGATAGCACCTGACCATCCAGTTGATGCTGGCGCCCCTGTCACGGATGGTGATCAGCTCTTGGCGCATACGGTTGGCAGTGGTGCTCGCGGCCATGGTGGTGTTGGTGTCGGCGTGGCTCCGCTGTGATACTAGCTAGTTCTCGTAGCCGCACTGCAACTGCTCTCCAGAGGCTGGCTTCCTTGCGCTTGGCGGTGTTCTCGAAGGTCTTGAACCGTGCTGATGGACTGCCTTCTTCTGCTGAAAATGCGGTGCGCCTCCTCGAAATTGACTACGTTGTGTCGAGTGCCCATGTATAATCGCCAACGGCGTCTCGGCTGCTCGGCTCCAGTGGCCGAAGTGCCTCCCCAATATTTCTGCGCCCTCTGGGCCCCGCTGGTAGTTCCAAGCGCGCTGGGTAACTGCGGGTTTCCACTGGTTCGTCACACTGCTGGTGTAATGCCTCCATCCGCAAGTCATATGTCGCCATGCCTTTGACCTCCTTCAGGTACTCCTCCTCCCGCAGGTGTCGGTGGATGTCGTGCGGGTCAACACTGGCGTTGGTGACGTGGTCGTCTTCTGGCTGTGTCAGCTTCGCATAGGGCCCCCGATCACGCTGAGCTCGTTCGGGGTCCCTCCTGGCCTTGATCTTCTGCGTTGGGGTCTGCAACTGGATAGGTTGTCGCGGCGCCTCGATACTGGCCGCGGCTGGCCTGACTGCCGGCGCCAGATCGAGTCCGAGGTACGGACTCCACGGCACGTCTCGCGCAACCTTGAAGTGCTTGACCAGCGGGGAGAAATTTCGTGAACAGACTCCGTAGTCGATGAGCTGCTCTTTGCCCGGAGTGCACGTGAATGGGCTGTCCGCTGGTAGTAGGAGTTCGCCTCCGAGTGCTTGCAGTCATCTGGTATTTGCGAACTGCTCTGGCGCGTTGCTCCAATTGCCCAGCGCGGCCCACGGCGCGGCTAAGGACGTGGCCACGCGGGTCAGCTGGATCATCTTGCTCGCATGCTCATTCTCGAAGCCCTTGCCCGAGTCTAAGTAGATGCAGACCAGCGCTATGGTGGCTCTCTTGAGTCTCCAGATCATAACTGCTATGCCCATTCGGCCTCTTCTGGAACGCGCTCGCCCCCGTCGCATCAGGTAGGTGTGCTGAAGAAAGAAGCCCTGCTCGCGCCATCCAGCAGGTTCCCCCAGGAGTGCCCGTCGCACTCCTCCCCGTAGGTGTAGCTGGAGTCCACGCGTGCTGCGAATGCCACCCCTGGCGCCGCAACTGCATGGCCTCGATATTCGTGGCATTCCCTTGCAAGTGGTGTTCCGCAGTGAGGGCGATGTCAAAACTGGTGCGCTGCACATAATGCCGCGAAGTGAGTGACGTTCGCGAACAGCACGTGTAGCGCGCGGTCCACAGATGCACCTGCACTTCTGGGCTTGGCGACGCGTCCGCCGGAGTTGCCCGCAGGTTGGCCCAGCTGATGCACCTCCGCCGCCGCTGGCACCTGCCGCTGGGCCTTCACCTTGAACTGGGCCGTTGCCTCGGTGTACTTGTTGACGGCTCCGGGGTCCGTGAAATCCAGGTTCTCAGCGCGGACGCCCTGCTCGTCATCCTTGATGGTGTTCTCAGGTCCTGCACTGGTAGCCTGGGCAGTTCCGTCGCTGCTCTTCTTTCGCTTGGTGTTGACTTCCTTGTGTGGCTTCCGAAGTCGCTCAGCTGCTTGTTTGGCATGTTGACCTGCTGCCGCAGCCTGCTTGAGCGTCGCCGACGCCTCAGCTGCTGCCTTCTTAGCCGCTTCATACCCTCGCTTTCCTTCAGTTCCCAGCGTCTCCAAGTCTTCGGCGCCCAGCTCTGGGAACTCGGTCTCCTCCTGGGGTTTCTCCGGATCTGCTGCGGTAGCTGCTCCCGCAATGTTTTTTCCCACCAGGCTGTCCACCTCCGCCTGCGCTGCCAAGCACTGCTCCGATTTCTCACTGAGGCGGTTGAGGAGCTCCTTCTGGGACTGGGCTGCCGCCACCAGCTACGCTTTGATTGTGCCTTGTTGAGTCTGCAGGTGTCGTTGCTTCTGCGCGGCCGCTGCCAGCTGCTTCTCGTGGGACTTAACTGGTGGCGGCTTCCAGATCTCTCCCAGCTCTGGGCAGACTGCGAGCAGTGCCTGCTGCTTGATGATGTCGTTGTCCTCCTTGGCCTTGTAATACAGTGGCAGGAGGACCGCCGCCAGTCCGCTTGCAGCTCCTGGGCCTGGCTGCGGTCCTGGTTTGAGGATGGACCGTATGCTTCCTGCAGGGTCTCGTCCTGCCACCCCGTCAGCAAAGGATACACTGCGCTGCTGCATCTGTTGGGCCTTGCCGAGGTCGCTCCACAAAATGCCACAGGACGCGCATGCTTCCCTCCCTTGCTTCCCAGCCTTGCTAAACCATATACAAAAAAAAGGCAATGCGGACACGTGATGTATGGTTGTTGCCGACTCCTGGAAGATGACCTCTGACGCGCTTTGCCATCCTTCGGACCACCTCCCATGGAAACTTGCACAAGTATTTTCGCCGCCTTTCTGGGCCCCTCAAGCCGCGGGTACACCTGAATGAAATCCCCTGGAACTCAATCGGTGCACGGTACGCGTGTGTGTGTGTGTGTGTGTGTGTGTGTGTGTGTGTGTGTGTGTGTGTGTGTTGCGGGCCTATCCCAAGAAAAGGACTCGACACACAAAGGCTTGAGGAGGAGGAGGAGGAGGAGGAGGAGGAGGAGGAGGAGGAGGAGGAGGAGGAGGAAAAGGAGGAGGAGGAGGAGGAGGAGGAGGAGGAGGAGGAGGGGGAGGGGGAGGGGGAGGGGGACGGGGAGGAGGATGGGAAGGAGGTCCCCTGAGATCCGAGGTTGCGAACAATTTCACCACCGTGAAGAATCACGACAGGAACCCTAGACACTGTCTTTCTGCGCTGCTCTTCGAGCCAGATCGATCTGAGAGGGTCCCAGAGCCCGAACCTGACAGAACATACACTTTGTGGAAAATGGCAACGCCACGATCTGACGGTTTTCTCCGGCTCGCCAGGGTCCTGAGGGCGAACGGCCGCGGATGCGCTTCTCAGGCTGGGAGCTGATCCAAGGCGCCGCGGACGCGGGCGTCCACCATCGCGAAGCAGTCGGAGATGTTCTCCTCCCGGCGCAGGGGCGGAGGTGAACACCGTCTGCGTTCACCTCCTCCTAGAAGCTATTAGGGCCACGCGCGATTATATAATTACTGAAGCCTTCCTCCTCCTCCTCCTCCTCATCCCCCTCCTCCTCTCCCTCGTCCTACTTCTCTCGCCTCTGCTGCTGCTCCTCCAAGAGGCTATTCCCAGCGATCCCGCCGAAGCACAGGAGGAGGATGGAGTACGAGAGGAGGAGTGGCACCAATAACCCTTTGGGAGCGGGGTGGGGTGGGGGTTAAGGTGGTGGTGATGATGATGACGATGACGATGACGATGATGATAATGATGATGATAATGATGATGATGATGATGATGATGATGATGATGATGATGATGATGTTGAGATGATGACGATGACGATGACGATGACAACGACGACATCGATGATGATGATGATGATGATGATGATGCTGATGATGATGATGATGATGATGATCATTATGATTATGATTATGATTCTGATTATGATGATGAGATGAGGAACGCCAAGAAATGACCGAAGGCCTTCGAAGGCGTCTGGAGGTCCTTCGAGATCCTCGAATACGACGACGAGGAGGAGGACGAGGACAGGAACGACGACGAAAACGACGACGACAACGACGACGCCGACGACGATAACGACGACGACGACGAGAACAAGGGCAAGGACGACGACGACGATGACGACGACGGCCGCCTCTGAATATCTCTGGAGGTCTCCAGAAGCTTCGGAAGTTCTCTGGAGGCGTCCACAGGCCCTTCGAGGCCCTCGGAGACGACGACGAAGACCACGACAACGACGACGAGACCGACGACGACGACAACTAGGACGACGATGACGACGACGGCCGCCACTGAAGGTCTCCAGAAGTCTCAGGAGGCCTCAGGATGTCTTCGGATACCTCTGGAGGCGTCTGCAGGCCCTTGGAAACCCTCGGAAACGACGAGGAAGACGAGGACGATTACGACGACGAGAACGAGAACGACGACGTTGACGACGATGACGACGATGAAGACGACGAGGGCAAGCACGACGAAGACGACGAGGACGGGGACGACGACGATGGCGACGAAGGCGACGGGTGACGACGATAACAACGCCAAGGGCGACGACGGCGACGACGACGAGGACGACGACGACGACGGCGGCCCCTGAAGATCTCCAGAGGTCTCCAGAGGCTTCGGGAGGTCTCGGGAGGCCTCTGGAGGCCTCTGGACGACGACGATGACCACGATGACGACGACGACGACGAAGACGGCCGCCTCTAAAGATTTTCTGAAGTATCTAAAGGCTGAAGGAAGGCTCTGGAGGCGTCTGGAGGCGTCTGGAGGCCCTTCGAGGCTCTTGGAGACGACGACGACGACGACGACGACGACGGCCGCCTCTAAAGATCTCCGGAGGTCTCTAGAGGCTTGAAGGGTCTGGAGGCGTCTGGAGGCCCTTCGAGGCTCTTGGACACGACGACGACGATGATGACGACCGCGACGACGCCGACGATAATGATGACGGCAACCGTTGAAGGTCTCCGGAAGTCTCCGGAGGCCTCGGGAGGTCTCTGGACGCGTCTGGAGGCCCTTCAAAGCCCTCGGAGACGACGAGGACGAGGACGAGGACGAGGACGAGGACGAGGACGACGGTCACCTCCGAAGATCTTCAGAAGTCACCAGAGGCCTCAGGATATCTCCAGAGGCCTCTGCAGGCCTTTGGAGGCCCTTCGAGGCTCTCGCAGACGACGATGACTACGACGACGACGACGAGGGCGACGACAACGACGACGATAACGACGCCGACGCCGACGCAGACGCCAACGCCGATGCCGACGACGACGATGACGACGACGATGGGGACGATAGCGACGACGACGCGGACAACGACGTCATCACCGCATCATGACGACGACGTTGGGGATGACGACGAGGACCACAACGCCGACGCCGACGCCGACGAGGACGACGACGGCGACAACAGGACGACGACGACGGCCGCCTCTGGAGGCGTGTGGAGGCTATCCGATGCGTGTCAGCAACACACAATGTCTGCGAGGACGGCGCTATAGCTGTGAGGCGGCCAGCCCCCCCCATCCCCGTACGTTTGATACGGTGACAAGGGGCTGGAGGCGACCCCCCCGTCACGGACGTCACGGGTTAAACGAATGAAAAACCAATGTCGACCCGAACTATTCCTCATTTCAGCGTCTTGAACCGGCGGCGTGCCGAGGGGAAGGCAGACGGGGCGGTATTCTTCAGAGAGCTCAGAGGCCTCTGGCCCTCTAGCTTTTTGAGCCGTCTTCGAAACCACGGAAAGCGCTCTCAGAAGGCCGGAGGCCGAGAAGCCCCGCCGCCTTCTGAAAAGGCTCGCCCCGCTGCCTTCCCCCCTCGGCGCGCCGCCGAGTAGCTCAGCGTGTTGGCTGAGCTCCGTCGACGGCACACCCGCAGATCAGTGCCCGCCCTGGCGCCTTCACGAACACCTTGGCAGCGGGCAGGCCCAGTGCCGCGGCGAAGCCCTTGGCGGTCTTCGCGCAGCTGCCGGGGTCGCAGACCACGCATGCGACGACGTTCGCCTGTTGCAGGAGGAGGAGGAGGAGGAGGAAAAGGCGGAGGCTGAGGAGGAGGAGGAGGAGGAGGAGGAGGAGGAGGAGCTGAGCGAACTCCTCGGCGCCCTGAATTTCAACATGGTTGCCATCTTCGTTAAGTCCGTGCAGCGCGCCATCGCGCTCGGCAAGCTGCTGGTGAAGTGCAACTTCCCCTCGATCGCCATGGAATTCAAGAACTCGGATACCTAACTTCTGCGTTCCAGTCTCGCAGTGGCACCGTCTCCTTCAACTTCGGCGTCTCGCTCGATCCTCTCAAGGTTCCTCGGCTTGCAACGGGGGCTGGCCCGCGGCGGTGTGCATGCTCGTGCTCTGGGTAGTCGAAGCCAATCTGGCGCCAATCTGGCAAGCCCAATCTGGCGAACGGGGACAATCTGACGAGGGAGCCAACGCGAATCCAGTCTGGCGAATAACCCCAATCCTCCAGTTTGGCCAGGCCAGATTGGCCCTTGGGGCCCAATCCAATCTGACAGTCTGGCCTTCGACTACCCAGGTGCTGGCTTGGGACGATGCGCAGGACGTGGAGTTGTATGGCTCTAGCCTGGCTCACCCTCGTGACCTCGTGCTCTTCGTCTTCGGCTAGCTCGGAGCCCTAGGACCAGATGAGTCCAAAATTTCTTCCAAGGCCCCTGGTCGCAGTGAACCAGACTCTGGCCTAGCGCAAGCTGTTCCCAGGAGGAGGAGGAGGAGGAGGAGGAGGAGGGGGAGGCGGAGGAGGAGGAGGAGGCCAGCCCACAAGAAACCTTCCACAAGAAACCCAACCCTGAGACCCCAGGACGTCCACTGATGCTTAGTGTGGGAGCGACGCGCTCTCCACAGCATAACCATCGAACCCAAGAACCCCAGGGCACCCTGGAGGCAAGCAGGGTGTTCCTTGGCATGGGCCTCCACTGTACAAGGGCCGCAGAGCGGGCGGGGTAGAGAAACATCCTCTGGGAACGATGCGGGAGGAAGCGCGGGCTCGCTCGCGCAGCCTTCTAGCGATGCCCCCTGGGCAAGGCCCGGTGAACGCTGGGTGCATATGGGGCGGCCGCAGACGGCAGGGCGGGCCCCTTGCCTCTGACACTCAAGGATGGATGCAGTCGCGCAACGCGCCGAGGAAAAGAATGACCCACTCGGCGCGGCCACCTCCGAAGCCAGTGCCAAATCAGAGCGGAATCGAGGTGGTACTGGCATAGAGCGATCGTGCATAATTTTGAGCGCCGCGGCTGGGGCCAGAACTAAATCAGAGTTTAATCAGAGTTTGCGGCCAGATTGTAACCATAGTTAGAGTTGAACCAGAATTCTTGGCCAGAGTTTGATCAGAGTTAGAGCTTAATCAGAGCTTGAGGCCAGAGTGCAATCAGAGTCTCACCAGAGTTTTGGGAGCCCGGGGCACATGTCTAGTTTGCCTATGAGAGCGAACATAACTCCAGAAGTCCCTGGAGTCATCCGAAGCCCTCATTTCTCCAACAAGATCCTGGAACCACCATCAACGACGAACGCCGCCGACGACACATGAGACGACGACGACGACGACAAACGAGACGACGACGACGACGGCGGTGACGGCAACGTCAACGTCTGAAACGAGGACGAGGACAAGGATAACGAGGAGGAGGAGGAGGAGGAGGAGGAGGAGGAGGAGGAGGAGGAGGAGGACGACCAGCATCGTCTGGTGGCCTCCTCGCCTGCCGCGGTCACCGCAAGCCCCCCCCCCAAAGGGACGGTAAACGCGCAGCGACCGACACAGACCGACGACGAAGACGACGACGAATAAAGGCGATCGACGACGAGAACACCGACGACGAGAACGACGACGAGAGCACCGGCGCGTGACGGGGCGCCTCCGTCTTCCCCCCTTCTCAGCCCCCTCCACAATTACTCAATATGAATACTACTCTCCCTCTTCCCCTGATGACGGCCTGGGAGTGTCCGACCCCCCCCCGCGTCCGGTTTTTTTACACACAGGTTTCCCCGGAGTTGGGTTTTCGCTTGCATTTTTTCCAAAATGCTGGTCTCGCTGGGGCGCCGGCCTCATTTTCGGGCCCCGCTCGTTCCGAATCGTGCTCCCGCTGCAGCGCTGGCCTCATTTCCGTGCTTCCGCTCGTTCCGAATCGTGCTCCCGCTGCAGCGCTGGCCTCATTTCCGCGCTTCCGCTCGTTTCAACTCGTGCTCCCGCTGCAGCGCTGGCGTCATTTCCCGTGCCATGCCACGGCGTGCAATGCAATGCTAGGTTGATACTACGCTTTGCGGTGCTCTTCTACGCCACGCCATGCCGTGCTCTACAATGCATCGCGTACCCTTTCGGGATCATTGCCCTGCTCGACATCCGACTGTGCGAGTAGAGAGGGAATCTGCGCCATGGTAGGGGATGGGAGGGAGGGGTAGGATGTCAGATATGACGCGAGCGCACCTAGCTTGTCCTTCCCCCCTCCTCCTCCTCCTCCGCCCGGATCTTCCCCCCTCCTCCACCGGCTCCTCCTCCTCCTCCTCCTCCTCCTCCTCCTTATCCTCTTCCTCCTCACCCCCTCCTTCTCCTGCTCCTGCTCCTCCTCCTCCTCCTCCTCGTCCTCTCGTTGTCCTCGTCCTCGTTTCCCTCCTCCACCCCCTCCTCCTCCACCTCTCCCTTTTCCTCGGCGTCGCTCTGCGTTGCCCCCGACCTCACCGTGACAACGAACACGGCGATGGCGACAAAGAGTCCGCTCAAAATTTGACCTTGGCCTCCTCTCAAGGCTCATCCTGGAGGACGACGACGACGGCGACGACAACGACGAGGACAGCGAACACGACGACGGCGACGACGCAGATGACGACGACACAAACGAAAACGGCGGCGACCAGGACGACAACGATGACGATGACGACCAAAGCCGTCTGAAGGGCTCTGACGCCTTCAGAAGCCCCAAAACGGCACCCGAAAACTCGTCGACGATCAGACTGTCGGCGGCCTGGTCAGAGGGGACACCAGCAGAAGACGGGGCCAGCCTCCTCAGAAAGCCAGCGGGGCTTCTCAAAGCCCCCACGCCTTCCGAGAAGCCGCCCGCGGCTCCAGAGAAGGCACACCGGGCTGCTCGGAAGGCGGGCAGGTGGCGGGCCCAGTCTGCCCTCCCCCCCCGGACGCGCTGCCGAGGAAAGCGAGGACGACGATCGACGACGACAACGACGACGACGATCGACGACGACGACGACGACGACGACGACGACGACGACGACGCCGACGGCGGCGGCGGCGGCGGCGGCGGCGGCGAGGGGCGCGCGGCCGCGTCGCAGAGCCGCGAGAGGCTCTCCGCGTGTGCCGCGAGCACGTCCTGCGCGAGGGGGGCGGCCCCGACGACGACTCGTTTGATGTCTGGCCAGACTCAGCCACGCGCAGAGGGGGGTGGGGGGAGGAGGGAGGGCTTCTTAGAAGCACCCCTGCTTCTTAGAAGGCAGGCTAGGGTTCGGTCGGGCATGTCTTCCCACGGGCGGAATTTCGAGGACACTTTTTTGTATATATAAAAATAGGACACGGGGGCCAGGCCATCACAATCGCTAGCGTTCAGCAAGCGTGGCGGGTACAACTTTTCCGCCAGTACAGTTGTACCCGCAAGCGGGCCTCACATCGTAGAGTACTCGAGGCGGAATTTCGAGGAAACATAGAAACATACTCGACTAGACAGGCGCGTTCCACACTGTTCGCAAGAAGTAACCACTCGCGAACGGCCTGGATCCGCCGAAGGGGATTTGCGACCCATTACATTGAGGCAGACGTTTGATCTTTCGGACGTTTGCGAGCAGGCACTTTGCGAGTAGTGGGAAGCGCTGGTGATCAACAAATACACAACAACAAACCAACAATAGTAGAGCAGCATGTCCCCATACTCCTGATTTTTTGACTATTTTTGAACATTCCTCCTGTAGAGAGACAGGCCCGACGTAAAGCTAGGGGCGACGTTGACGGGAGATTACGACGAGCAACGAACGACGCTTCGTTCGCGCGATAAAACGTTATCATCGCCACGGCGGGCCCCCAAAGAGTTCCTGGGAGAGACTGGGACGACTTCGGAAAAGGAGGAGGAGTAAGAGGTGGGAGGAAAGAGAGGGGATGGGGGAAGGAGGGGGAGGGGAGCGTTCAAGGAGAACCGACATCGCGTAATGACTCAGCCAACTACGGCGCCAATCCTGTCTTGCATGGGATCCCATAGCGCACGGCAGAGTGATGCCTGCGACTGGTGGTGAACGTCGAGAAACCTGCGGGATAGTTGTGCGTGTGTGTGAGAGAGAGGGGGGGCGGCTTGGGACGGGAGGGTGTGTGTGTGTGTGTGTGTGTGTGTGTGTGTGTGTGAGGGGGGGCGGCTTGGGACGGGAGGGTGTACTGCAGCATCATCGTTGATGCATCCTGGGCTTAACTACTCTGCTCCTCCTCGCTCTGCTCCCCCGAACATCCGACGCTTCGTGTCATCAGCACGCCCCCCCGAATCTCCTCTCGACGGAGCCCGAACACGGCCTCCCGAGGCCGAAGACGGAAACACCTCCGCCCGGGGGTGCCGAGAGGGACGGGGCCAGAGGACCGCGCCGCGCCGCCGATCCGGCGACGTCGGGATGGGGAGAGGCGTGCCCCCGTCGGGATCCACCATCAAGGAGACGTAAGACTCGGGTACGGGGCACTCGGGTTGGCCTGACGGGGGCCACCACGAAAATGACGAGACCCGTCTGAGATTTGACGCGGGCTCCGGTTGCAGACATCCCACGAAAACCGGACCGTCAAAATCCAGGACGCGCTCGTCAAACAACTTCGGCAAACCCAAGTTCCGGCTTACTCGAGTCTTACGTTTCCCCGACACCAAAGGGGGTGACCCTGAGGGGGGGGCATGAATTCGATCCGCTGGTGCACCGAACTGCCGCAAACCAGTGCCCCCCGCATGCCCCACCCGTCGGCAAATGTCGCGAGCTGCCGGCGGCTGGGGGGCATCTGTTCTGAGCGGCTATGACCTCCAAAACGGCCCCAAAAAACCCCCCAAGCCCACCAAGAGGGCCCCAGGGGAGCCCCCAGAGCGTCCCAAGAGGGACCCAAGAGAGCCCCCAAAGGGCGCAAGAGGCTTCCGAGCACGTCCCAAGAGGGTTCCACGATGGCCCCGAGAGGCCCCCAAGACACTCCCAAAGCGAAAGATCGCAAGCGTCTTTATGTTGACTCCAATCGTCGTCGTCGTCGTCGTCGTCGTCGTGGTCGTCGTCGTCGTCGTCGTCGTCGTCCCACGTTTCCCGCGGCTGCCTTGATATATTGGGTGCCTGTTGTCCCTCCTTCCTAGATGCCCACCGCGCGCGTCATCGGTGTTCGCGCGCCCGGAGCAACGCACGCACGGCAAGCAACGACAGGCAACAAATCCACCAAGGCAGCCCCAGGCACGCACGACGTAATACAGACACCGCAGGCAACGACAGGCAACTATCCAATCAAGACGCTACACATCCCTGATCAGGGCAACTCGCCAGGTGTCTGTTTTCGAATGGGCTGCTGGGGATATGGGACACGTCAAGAATTAATTGAACTTCGCGTTCAACATGCAGGCGTTGAAAACATTTGGGGCCCTCGGGGAAGGTGCGAACATCCCATCCAACCTCCTACGCTCCCGCATGTGGTGGACAAGGCATGTCCCGTACCCGCGACAGAATTATCAAATCCCACGAGAAGCGAAACGGATTGAATGCCCATCTCCTACCTTCCACACCTTGCGCGTAGCAGCCTCTGCCATGACTCCAGGCGTGCCTGGATTATCCCAGGTTCGTGCAATGTCCTCCGAGCCCATACCATAATTCGAAAGAGCGCGTTCTGTGGTCGCTTGGAGGGGGGGGGGGGTGGAACCGGACCCCCCTCCCCTCCCTGGATGGAGGGGGGGAGTAGTTTCGACCCCCCCCTCCTCCCGTGACGGAGGGGGGGGGTTCGATCCCCCCCACTTCTCCTCTCTCCCTCTCCTCGGGCGGGCGTCTGCGTCGGCGGCGGCTGGCGGCGGCGGCGGGGACGACGATTTCTTTTTCTGGGCTGGCGCCGGCGCCTGCGGCGGCGGGCGGCGGGGAGCGTCGACGAGGACGACGGTGGTGGTGGTGGTGGTGGTGGTGGTGGTGGGTTGTGGTGGTGATGGTGGCGTTGGTGGTGGTTGTGTTGGTGGTGGTGTGGTGGTTTGTTGTAGTGGCGGTGGTTGTGGTGGTGGATAGTGGTGGTGGTGGTTTGGTAGTGGTGTGGTGGAGGTTGTTGTTGTTGGTGGTGGTGGTGGTCGGTTGTGTTGTGGTGGTGGTGGTGGTTTCGTGGTGGTGTGGTGGTTTGTTGTTGTTGGTGGTGGTGGTGGTGGTGGGTTGTGGTGGTGGCGGTGGTGGTTTGTGGAGGCGGTGCTGGTGGTGGTGGTGGTGGCGGCGGTGGTGGTGGTGGTGTGGTGGTTTGTGGTGGTGATGGTGAGTTGTGTTGCTGGTAGTGGTGGTGGTTGTGGCGGTGGTGGTGGTGGTGGTGTGGTAGATTATGGTGGTGGTGGGTTTTTGTGGTGGTGGTGATGATGAGTTGTGGTGGTGGTGGTTGTGGTGGTGGTACTGGTGGCTGTGGTGGTGGTGGTGGTTGTGTAGCGGGTTGGTGGTGGTGGTGGTGGTGGTGGGTTGAGGCGGTGGTGGTGGTGGTAGTGGTGGTAATCGTCGCTGCGTCCCCGTCGTCGCTGGCGCCAGCGCTGGCGCTGCTGGCCGCCGCCAGCGCCGGCACCCAGGGGGGGGGGGTTTGAACCCCCCCCTTTGGGCTGCTACTCGTCATCGTCGCTGCGTCCCGGCCGTCGGCGCTGCTGGCGGCCGCCAGCGCCGGCGCCGGCGCCGAAGGGGAGGGGGGGGTTTGAACCCCTCCCCTTGGGAGGGGGGGGGGGGGGGGGTTCGGGAGGGGTGGGGTGGGGGGGAGGGGAGTCCCCATGGCTTTGATCGACGGCGCCGAGGGTTGGGGGGGGCCCCCCCCGGTTCGAAACGCGCCGCCGAATGTTCCCAAGGCAAGCGCCTGTGAAACGAGCTCTCTCCATCATTCAAGCCAAGACCCAGAAAGGGAATAACTCGCCTCCTTCCTCTTTGAAATGCGCATCTTGGCCAGCATGCCATCTTCGCGACTGCCGAAATGTGGTTGACACGAACTTTTCGGATCGACGTCCTGCGCGAAAATAGACTGCCGCAAAGTTGGCGCCCATCTGGTTTGCTGTGAGTCGAGCCCCCAAACCACGCCACGCATTTGCCGAGGAGGAAACATACATGGTTCCCGAATGCTCATCCCAGGAAATCCAAAGCCACTGTGAAATGATAGTGGGGAACGGGAGGGGAGGGGGGAGGAGGGGGAAGTAGGGGGAAGGAGGGGGCGAAGGGGGGAGAAGGGCGGTCCTCGGCGGTGACGGAACTCAGGGTGTCCTCCCAAGCAGCCACCTGCCGCCCGCGCCCCCCACCGTCGGGGGACCGGCAATTCGCGGGCCCCGCTACCGGCAGAGGGCGAAAGGGAGGAGGCCGAGAACGGAGGAGGAGGAGGAGGAGGAGGAGGGAGAAGGAGGAGGAGGAGGAGGAGGAGGACCAGAGTTAATCCAAGAGCCATCTACGATGTTGGAATAACCCCTCCCTCCAAGCTCCCTCTTCACAGGCCCCTACAAAGGTTCATCTCCACTGAGGGAACTGCCTCGTTGGAAGGCAACCGTATGAAGACCCTGAAGCATGCCCAAACATCGCTCTCGGGGTTCCAACGCCACGGACTAAACTGACAGTTGCGCCTTGATGGCCCTGAATCGTGCCAGAACGCCATTCCTGGGACTTCAACACCGCACCCTCATAGTCCTGAATCCTTCCCAAACGCCATTACTGGTTCGCTGATTATGGGAATCCGTGTTAATGTGCGCGGCACCAAAGCGAGAACCACATTTTGAAAATGAACCGCCCTCAATCCGTGAAACTTCTGCAAATTTGGGAAAATAATGTACGCAACGCTGAAACGATAACCGCCTTTTAAATACGGGTCGCCCTCAATCCGTGAAACTCGTGCAACTTTAAAAAACGAATGTGCGCGGCGCTAAGGTGAGAGCCACATTTTGAAAACCACCCGCCTTCCATGTGTGAACCTGTTGCATGTATTTAAGCTTACGGGGCATTAGTGTTGAGGTAGTCTCAGGCGAAACAACAAGGCCGCCCTAAAAACTGGCCTCGGGGTGCAATCGAGAGAAGTTATTTTTAAAGAATTACCCTGGCGACGTACCCAACCCCTGCGCAAAAGCGGGGCGCAAATAGTTTAGGATACTTTATAAAGGGGGCGATGACGGAGCGAGGGTTACATATGTCTGCAGACGGAATTCGGGAGACTCGCAGGACACTGGCTACAGGAAAAGGGCTTGATAAAGCTGATGATTTACAATTCCTGAGCACTCCTAGCCACTTCGAAAACGGGGATCACAGCAGGCCTCGAAAGTGGCGACAGGTTCACAGATCGCAGCCCCGCAGGGATGGCGAGGTCTCATTTGAATCTGCCCGTGGCCCTCACTGTGCTGGGCCCCCCAGCAGGCCTCGAAAATGGCGACAGTTTCGCAGATCGCAGCCCCCCAGGGATGGCGAGGTCTAATTTGAATCGCGCGTGGCCCTCACTGTGCTGGGCCCCCCAGCAGGCCTCGAAAATGGCGACAGTTTCGCAGATCGCAGCCCCCCAGGGATGGCGAGGTCTAATTTGAATCCGCGCGTGGCCCTCACTGTGCTGGGCCCCCCAGCAGGCCTCGAAAATGGCGACAGTTTCGCAGATCGCAGCCCCCCAGGGATGGCGAGGTCTAATTTGAATCCGCGCGTGGCCCTCACTGTGCTGGGCCCCCCAGCAGGCCTCGAAAATGGCGACAGTTTCGCAGATCGCAGCCCCCCAGGGATGGCGAGGTCTAATTTGAATCCGCGCGTGGCCCTCACTGTGCTGGGCCCCCCAGCAGGCCTCGAAAATGGCGACAGTTTCGCAGATCGCAGCCCCCCAGGGATGGCGAGGTCTAATTTGAATCCGCGCGTGGCCCTCACTGTGCTGGGCCCCCCAGCAGGCCTCGAAAATGGCGACAGTTTCGCAGATCGCAGCCCCCCAGGGATGGCGAGGTCTAATTTGAATCCGCGCGTGGCCCTCACTGTGCTGGGCCCCCCAGCAGGCCTCGAAAATGGCGACAGTTTCGCAGATCGCAGCCCCCCAGGGATGGCGAGGTCTAATTTGAATCCGCGCGTGGCCCTCACTGTGCTGGGCCCCCCAGCAGGCCTCGAAAATGGCG